ACCTTTTTGGCACAGTTCTCTCGGATTTGGTGGCCCCGGCGACGGGCAACAGAGCAGAAGACACTCTTTCGCAGACGTGCCCACCCGACAAGCATCCATCAGCTCCATCAACGAGTCGCTTGGGCCATTGGAAACCACGCCCGTGGCTGAGTCCGCGCAGGTGCTTGACTACGGGCTCGGGTATGCCGAGAACACGGGGTACTCCGCTGGCACCTTTGCCGACGCCTCTATGCGCTCTTTCCAACAGCGTCAGGCTGCTATGATGCCTGAAACGGCCTCTTTCTTCACACCCGGCGGTGGGCTCGCTGCGCCTCCCCAAGGGCTATCCTTTGGCAACCCTTTTCCCTCGCCATATGGTATGCAACCCCAGTATGCCAATCGTGCCCCTTCGCCTCATAGGAACGTCTACGGCATGTCGCAACCGCGGCACAACCAGCTGCTTCATATTGTGGTCTTCAAGTGTGCTCGAGCAGACGTCTTTTACATTCAGGAAGGTACCGGCCTGACGGTGAAGCCTGGAGACCTCGTCATTGTCGAAGCCGATCGTGGAACTGACCTGGGAACGGTCATGCGGGACAACGTGGACTGGCAGACGGCGAAAGAACTTAAAGAGCACTATGCTGAAGAGCAGTACAAATGGCTCATGATGTACTCGCAAAACGCCGCCGCTGCGCAAGATGGCACAGGCGCCGGTCTCATGGCTGCCGCCAACGGACTTCAGGGTAGTGCGGTTGGCGGCATGGACCTCCAAGTCAACACCACATGCAGGAAGCTAATGCTGGGGAGCTTAAGCCCAAGCTCATCAAACGTCTCGCACAAGTCATGAGATCATGCCCTCGAGACAAGGAGGGCAACGAGGCAAGGCGAAACGTGTATGCATGCAAAAGGTTAAGGAACACGGCCTCAACATGGAAATTCTCGATGCCGAATTCCAAATGTAAGTTGACGTCCCGGACCTGCAGGTTCGCGTTGGATACTAACCTGCTTTCAGGGATTGGAAGAAATTGACTTTCTACTATTTCGCCGACGCATACATCAATTTTAACTCCCTCGTCACCGACCTTTTCAAGATTTACAAGACCAGGATCTGGATGTCCGCTATCAACCCTGCCTCATTCGCTAGTCCGACCCTCGGTATTCAGGCTCCTAGTGGCATTGGACCAGGCGCCGTTGGTATTCAGCGTGCTGCGCAGAACCCTGAACGGCGCCAGCAGCAGTCGTCTGCTCCTCAGCAGCAACAGCAGCAGCAGCAGCAGCAGCAGCTTGAGCAGCAGCATGCCAGCTTCACCGGAGTCAATCCTGCTGCTCGCGGATTACCTAACACGTTCAGTTCATCTGTAGGAGGCGACAGAGGTGTGCCCGCGCCAGGGTCTGGTTACGGTCAGGCACCGCAATCCGGTTATCCCTACGCTCACCTCGGTGCTGTCGGCAACACAAATCGCCAGGCAAATATGCCATACTCAGCCGGCGTCATGCCGTCGTTGGACACCTACAGCTACCCGCAATCCGGTGACTATGCGATGCGGGGTCGTTTCCAGACGCCACCTCAGGGCTCGACTTCACACGATTCCAGTATTTCGACCTTGACACCCACAGGTGACTGGCCTGCTTTCCAGGGCCTCTCGCTGAACACTCGATGAGTAGGAGTCTCTGGCTGTCCATAGACGATTTAGTCAACGCCACCGCACACACTCTCTTTGCATCGATTGTTTTAGATCGCGTCCTTACGACAAACAAGCGCCACCCAAGTCCGCAGACCGGCCGCGGTCGAAGCTTCATGGGACGCTACCATAATTCGAGACCAGACTGGCGGTTTCTGGCTCTGGGCGTTGGGCACTCGACTGGGGTAGAAGGCCCTATTTTGCAACTGATTTTCAAGAAAGAGTGATACGACATGGCGGTCTCCACGCGACGACACACTCGTTTCACGCATGTTTGCTACATTGCTTGGGATTTGATTTTCCTTAACGGCCTCTTCCTGTTTTCACCTCAAGAGAGACACAAAGGGTGTTTTCGCTGATTCACTTGGTTTTCTTTGCTACACAACAGGGAAACGATGGTCCATAGACAGAGATTTCTTTTGCACGAGCATGGTGTAATTTCGTGTCATCAAAACAAATAGGTTTCTGGAATTTTTGGGCTGTGGCTTTTGGCTTGGTTGTACGAGAAAGATTCTTACCTTTGACTTTCCCGCAGAGTGGGTGGGCTCACTGTCCAGACGCGACTCCGAGGCTAGCAACACTTGGCGGCAGAAGAAGATCTGAGCAAAGACGAGAGAATAAAATTGCAGACTTGCGAGCTTGAGAATTGCCTGGGAAGGCCTACCGATCTGTGACATCTTGATTGTACCCGCCCAAGTTTGTAGTTCAACACCATACAAGTCCTGTGAGAGTGGGGATTGCCTAGTGTTGCTGAGAGTGTGCCTGCTCCCCAGCCGAAGTAACTCCGGACCAGCAACGTTCCGACAGGTAGATGCATGATCAATCCACCTACCACCAACGAGCTCTCTGCGGCGCCCACGACTTTCCCTCGAGATCCTACGAAAGCTGTCAATCAGCACCAGCATCAGCATCGCCGCCCATCTGCATGCACGTGCTCCCCGAATAAAGCCACAGTCATGCGGGCCACTGCTCTCTTCACGGCCCTCGCCGCCGCGGCCCTCGCCACGGCCAGCCCGCGCATCGCACACCTCCACTACCAGCCCATCACCCCCTCGACAGCCGACGCCGCGGCGCCCCTCCCGCTCGCCGAGATTCACTACGACGCCTCGACGCCGTCGTCCGCGACCGTCGCGTCCTACGAGGCGCCCGACCTGCCGGCGGACGCGGACCGCGTACGCATCGGCGCCTGGGACGCCGCCGCCGGCGCCTGGCGGTCCGGCGTCTCGGTCACAAGCGCGGCGACGTTCGCCAAGGGCTACGCGCCGCACCTGCTGCTCAGTGTCGACGCTTCGGGCACGCTGCTCGGGGCCGGGGCGCGCGGCGTGCGCATCGACGCCGGCGCCACGCGGGACTTTGGGCCCCAGGCTGTCGTCACGGTCGGCGGGGCTGGGGAGACCCCTACGGTCAACAAGCCGGTTGTGCTTGTGGATGGGAGGAAGAAGGAGCCTGAGGCGGAGAAGACGCTGTTGCAGAAGTGAGTCCTGGCATTGGCGCGGAGGGCGGGGGAGGCCGTTTTGCCGCCTCTCCCTTCTCCCTCTCCCCCTTCTGGTGCTGTTGGGAGTGGTTTGCTGACGATTTTACAGGTACTGGTGGGTGATTGCGGGAGTTGTGCTGCTGACGCTCACGTCTGGGGATAAATGAGCGGGCGGAGAGGGTGGTTGGTGGACTGGTTGTTCTGCTTCATCCTTACGGGGCCGACGTTGTCAAGTTGGCGCGCTGGGTTGGACAGGGTAGGACTGGGAGTGCTGGTGTTGTCCTTGCGGGATCTTGGCAGGTCGAGTTTCATTTTAACGGACTAGGCTGACCAGTAGGTGGGCAGTGGTCCGGCCACTCTGTCGGGACGGAACAGAGCGGATGAAGAGAAACACACTACTAATACATCACGCAAGCAAGTCAGAGGTGGTTGGTGACCCGGTGTTGAATGATACGGGCTCTAGTGACGGTCCAAGGCAGGCTTGATCTGCGAGAGCGGCCCATAGAGGCTCCTCCAGCCACCACTTGCCTAGAACAGCAAGATGAACTCCCCAGCCTTTGACTCTGCGGTCCCTCCCTTGATGCTCAATCTATGTCCTCAGGTCATTGAGGGGCAAACATGTCTTCTCCCAACAGTCACGTGCCTGTCACCAATCGAGGGAGCTCCGCACTAGTCCGAAACAGGCAGCATAATGGTTGCTAGGGAGGAGCTGCCCGCCGCCAACCGCTGAGCTCGCAAGCTTTGGCGAGAGCTGTGCTGGGGAAGGCGCCAGCGACGGCAGCAAAAGAAAGGCGCAAGTGATAAAACCCACTTCGCGCCGCCTCACCTCCACTTCACGCTCCCACCCCGTCGTGCAGCCCAGCTCCGTGCCTACTCTACTTCCTCCTACCTACCACCCAACACGCGAAAAACCTCAACCACAGCATTCCCCTTCCCTCCCCAGACCAAACACACGACCGACATCATGTCTGCCCAGGAGCCCACCAACAACCAGCTCGCCGAGGAGACCCCCGCCAACAAGGGCAAGGGTGTCGCCGAGACCAGCGTCGAGGACAGCGCCATGGACGAGGATGACAGCAGCTCCAGCGACGAGGAGGAGACTGTAAGTGCGCAACCGGCGCATACAATTTGCATCCTCCATTGTGATTGCATCGCTAACAGTTTGCGCCCCCTGCAGAACCAACCAGCCCGGTAAGACGCGACTGCCTTTTTTCTCTCCACTGGTTCCATCCCTACCCCCACCATTGTGCCCCGGCGCTCCCTACACAACACCGTGACTGACATGCGGTGCGCAGCCATCGAAGAAAAGGACGGCCTCGAGGAGATTGACCTGAACAACATTGTCGAGGGCGGCCGCCGCACCCGTGGCCGTGTCATCGACTGGGCCAAGGCCGCCGAGGAGAACCCTGCCCAGGACGACGAGGACGATGATGACGAGGACTTCCACGCACCCGAAGACACGGATTCCAAGATGGACACCGACTAAGCCTGCATCAGCCTGCTTACGGGTCCTTGAGAGGACGTTTTCATTTTCGGCCTGAAGAAGGGAAAAGGGCAATCGGCACACACGACGACAAGACAAAAAGTTTATGGCTGGCCGGAAGCGCCGGGGATGATGACATGATGAATGCGATTTGGAGCTTGGACAAGAGCGTTGACGGAGGATGGCGTGACGGACGAGGCACGATGCGACTTCTGGACCAGGCCTCTTTTCTTGCCTGGGATCCAGTCGTGGGGATCGAGTCTTGCTGTCGCACTCGCGCTGAGGTAGCTAAGACCCATGAATACATGTGTGAAGGCTGCTTCCCACAATCACGGAACTTTCGCTTGCAGGGGAGCGACGCAGATGTGTTGCGCAGCGGGAGCTCGCAATTTCACAGTGGTGGTCAGGGAGGCTGGCATCCACCCATGTGGCGGTGTGAGCCGTGGTGCAGAGGCCCATGGCCTACGGCCAACGAACATGCAGTCCCATAACGTGATGAACCTGTCTGTCACCACTCGATATATTTGCATGCCATTCGGGGCAGCGGCAGCAGAAGCTGCTCCTGAGATGACTGCTCCACGTTGCTGAGATTGTTTGCTCAAGGGACACATGAGGCCATCACGAGGGGACCAAGTTGAAGTAGCAATGGGCCACAACACGCCATTGGCCCATGTTCGACCATGCCTAATTTGGGGGGCCCCCTCATGTCCCGTCCCTGCACACATTCGCCCCCCTCTTCGCTCCCCTTGCGCCGCCTAAACGTAACAGTGGACTGAGTGCAGCCAGTGACGGTGACGCCACATGGGCCCGTCGAGTTTAATGAACACCTGTGCTCTATCAGCCAACTATCTATCTATCCTTGGACAGCGGCAATCTGATCTCGCCGGGGGGTCGCAAAAAGTTCAGAACCCTGTCAGCGACGGCCATCAATACGACCCTTTATACCTTCCCCCGGGAAAGCGAGAAACATCAAAGTCTTTACCTATCCTACGACTTATCACTGTCTCACAAGGCAAGAAACTCGAAGCACCGCTGGACATCACGAACGCGGATGCATCTCCCTGCGCCGCTCTGCGACCAGCATCACCACGACCTCTAGACGACGACGACGACGACATCAGCAGAGCCCGATCATCATGGCATCAAGGTCCGTCGAGCCCCCTTTCCGGCGACAGAACGCAGTGGCCTCTCTGCATCGCAGCAACGCTCGCAGCTACCCGTCGCGACGCGCCTCATCTACAGCGACCCCCTTAGCTAACACGGCCCGGTTCCCAGATTCGGCCCGTCCTCCCTCCACCAGCGCGACTCCCGCAGCGCCCTCTTCGAGGGCTACAACGACGGCTCCCGTCGTCCACCGAGCGCCGGTCCCAGCGGCGGCTACGGCTACGGCTATGCCGGCGGCAACAGCAACGGCGCGACGTCTTCGCCTGCCTTTGGCGCGCCGGGCGGCTTCCGGTCTGCGACCCCAAACCGCAAGTACGTGGGCAACGCACTCCCCGCTTCCCAGATCCCGCCGAGAGACGAGCAACCAGGGCGGCGCCGTTGAGCGAACAGCAAGCTGACGTAGCAGCAAAAGGGGCCAGTACAGCGACGCCGTGCTCAACGAGCTCGAGAGCCAGAACGATGCCCAGGTTGAGGGTATCCTGGGCAAGGTCAAGATCCTGAAGGACGTATGTCCCCCCCTCCCCCCTGGGTCTACGAGCGTACAGCTGATTTCGTCTCGCAGATGACACACGCCATTGGCGACGAGATTCGCGACTCCTCGGCCCTGGCGGAGAAGATGAACGACACGTTTGACTCGACGCGGCTGCGCATCCGCGGCACCATGAACAGGATGCTCGTCATGGCGCAGAAGACCGGCGTCGGCTGGAAGGTGTGGCTCGCCTTCTTTGCCGCCGTTGGCTTCCTGTTCTTCTACGTCTGGGTCTTTTAGCGGCGGGAAAACGGGAGACTGGGGGCTTGCATGTGTGCCTGGCTTATGGGCTGCCGACTACGGAGTTTCTGGGACGGTCAAGGGTGCACCATTGGCGTTTGGCGTGAGCTTTCAAAAAGGAGACTGCATTTGTTTTCTCTGCGGAGGCTTGTCATGTGTGCAGTGCATAATACACGGCTTGAAGGCTCTCTATTGAATGATAGAGGGGGGCGAATGTTGATGGCTGTCTTACCTGTGTATGGCAAATGGCAATGGCTGTTGATCAGTAGGCATACGTCCTACCATGGGCGTGGCAGTGCTCTGGTCATACTGTGACACCTTGATGTTCGGATGTAACCTCACCCTGTGGCCTGCGTCGTTGGCTTCTAAGTCTTCCGGGACGACTTGGTAAATGATTGCAGGGATCAAATTGTGTCCTCAACCTTTGCCAGCCTTACGTGTGGCCCAGCAATACTCGCGCTCCGAGAGCCTCGGCAACGGCTAGGTAGCAGCATGGGCCATTGCAAGGATCTTTGTGACGTTGTCATCCCCTGCTCTTTCGCGATGGTCTTTTGAAAGCCTGTCAGTCCGCTTTCCGAGATATTCTTGAGTGCTGCGTTGGAGAGCTGCCCGCCTGACAGATTCAACGATAGCTCTCAAGTGATCGTCAGAGTAGACATATTCATAAAGCTTCGAGCTGCCGTTTGGGGAGAAATAAGTGCCTGAATTCTTCGGTGCCTGTCCCGAGATCTTCTTGTCATCGGCCCGCGTTCGCAATCGCCACGCATACCAGATGTCAAGTGCCACTTGACACTACGTCGACTACACCACTGCACGGAGGAGACCAGCGTGAGAAGTTCAAGTCGTTGGTGAAGCAACTTTCGTGGTGGCTCGTCCAATCTGTGACCGCGGTAGAACTTGGGTCACGGTATTGGAAGATATCAGCGCGTCGGGTGCAGATGTGTCGACCACCTCGTCAGCTTGCGAAAGAGCGGTCCTTGAGTATGCGGCCGCCGGATATTTTGGCCAAAACTTGATCAGCAATTGATTTACGATGCTTAAAAGCACACCTTAGGCGCATTTTATTTTCCGTTTCACCGACTTGGGAACTTCGATACTCAACAAGGTCATCCTCAGCTAGGCATTCAACATGAGAGACGAGGAACCCCTTTGCGGCGCCGGCAACAACGAGTTTCGCCCTCTTCACGCCCAACAGAGGAGTTAAGACGACAAGAGTAGGTATACCGCGTCAGAATCGAACAAGGCTTGTGTACCATGCACTCGGAGTCGTAACAGGGAGCTTCGGCAGGATTTTCCCCGTCGTTCACCGTTCATGGTAGGCAACGATCTGACAGGGAAACTATCAGGTTGATACGACCTTGAACACTTTGCTGACGTTGGGTCGCCGTTTCTGATAGTGTTCTGCTTGCTCACCATGCCACCAGATGAACAATCAGAGTGCAAAAAAGAGTCCCGTCATGATAGATCCCGTTGAGGCATCTGGGACCCTCGTCACGAATGGGGCAATTTGCATCACGATAAACACCACCGCACGACCCACTCAACAACCACAGACAGGACACATGACACATTGAATCATGTTCAAGGATGCTTTCGCTCTCCACATTCTCGGTTTCATCCCTGGCAGTGGCACAGGTAATGCTTCCTACTCATTAATCGTAAAACAGACCCGTTCACCGGCTGCTATGGCCTCAATCTTTTGCGTAGCCCAACCACCCGTACCATGCTGATGCGCCCCCCCCCACATTGAACGCCAGATTCAAGACGCGCTGGGGTCGTGCCTCAAGCGCGGCACCGCTCCAAAACAACGCCCCAACCTTGTTCATGCTACCGCTGCGGGAAGCCCTCGCCTGCGGACTGCTCCCCAGCATACTACTGTCCCCTCCTGACAAAAGACTGCTGAGGTCCATATCCTGCCGCGGAGGGGTCTGACCGCGCCCCTGCATCGTCGGACTCGTCGGCGGCCGCAGCACGCCAGCCCCGAGGGACGACCGCGGTGCGAAACCCACGTCCTCCTCGTCCTCGGCGTCACTGCTGTCCGAGGGCAGGCTGCTGCTTAGCTCAGCCTCGGTGTCCGTGTGCTCGTAGACGCCGCTGAGCTCGGCTCCGTCAGCCATGCTGCCATCGAGGTCGGCGTCCATATCGAGGTCCTCGTCGGCGACCTGACCATGCACAGGCAGGAAGCTGTCGCCCTCGTCCTCGAGCAGCAGCTGTCCCTCCGTTTCGGCCTCTATTTCTTCCTCGTCGGCCCCGTATACATCGTCGTCGCCGCCGCGCGCCATGCGCATCCGCGCCTGCACGAGCTCAGCCCTGCGCTCCTCCCGCAGCGCCTCCCCCCTGCCAGGCCCGTCCCCGGCCCTCGACCCATCGTCGCCATCGTCGTCGCCATCCCCGCTCGATGCGCTGCTATTATCCGAGTCGGACGCTTCATCCGTCGACGACTCGCCAATGGCACTTAGCTCCATGCCCACGGCATCGGCATCGGGAATCTCCTCGTCCGAGATCCCGCGCGCCGTCGCCCAGGTCCTCCATGTCGGCTGTCGCATTCTTCTTCCTCGGCGCCGCCGCCTTTCCTTGGGCTTGGGGGCCGCCGCCTTCCTCGGGCTCGGCGAGCTCCTGCTGCAGCTGCTCGCGGGGCACGGCCTCGGCGTGCTCCTCGGCCTCGCGCCGCTCCTCGCGCATCTGGTGCAGCGTCTTGGGCACGCCGGGGGGCTTGAGCCATGTGCTGCCAAAGTTTCTGCACGTTGAGGCGGCGACGGTCGAGGTTGTGCTCGTCGGCGCGCAGGCGCGCGAGCTGGGACCGCTCGAGGAGCAGCTGGCCGGCGCGGCGCGACGAGGACTGCTGGGCGGCATGATCGGGATGCGGGTTCGTGTGATCGGCAGATGGGTCGGGCGCAGGTGGGTGGTGCTGCGGGTTTCGGGAGGACGAATACCAGACCGAGTGTGACTAGGGAGAGAAAAAGTCAGTCAAAGGTCATCACATCACACCGCAGGTCAGAGTTTGCAACGTGCAGGAGGCCAGGCCCTCACGACGGAGGAGAGGGGAGGCAGAGAGCGGGGGGGTTCGAGCGTACGTCTCGAGGAGTCAGGTCTGGGAGGAGACCGAACATGATGGTGTGTGTCTCATGGGCTGAAAGGCCGGCGAGGAGGGGTTGGGATGTGTCCTATTCGTTGCAGGTCGTCAGAAGGGAAGGTTAGAGTTTGTTCGTTTTTCCCCTTCTCGCCCTTCTCGCCCTTCCGCCTTCAATGGGAGGTCGTCGTTGAAATGATGCGTAAGAGAAACCAGGGATGTCTGGGATGTCGAGGGTTGGAGAAAATGGACGTTGTCACGTTCGGATAGTCACAGAAACGTAATGGGGCAGGAAGTAAACAAGTCACGACATGTTCGTAGTGGCTTTAGCTTGGCAGTTGCTACCCATGCGGCTGCAGGGCCCAAGCTTCCTGCTTGCTGCTTGCTGCTTACTGCTTGCTGCCTGTCCTCCCCTTTTACCCCACATTCAATAACAGCCGCGCGCATCCTAGCGCTTGCGGCGCCTGCCAATGCTTTGTTTTCAGATTCGCGAGCCCCCCTTCCCCTTCCCCTGGCCCCCTTGCCCCTCTCCTCTCCGCCCCTTCCTCACCAACAACGAACGCCGTCTCACAATGGAATACTCTTTCCTGATCGCCTT